CCGATGCTTCAATTGCTGCCCCCCAAAGCAACCGACCCACCCTGGGACGATGTTTTGGGGGATCACAGGGATGCAGCTGCACCCAAACCCCATCTGGGGGGGGGGGGGGATGTCCCCCCCATGGGTAAATCACCTCGGCTGGCTTGGTGACACCCCGGGCTCGCTGCTGGGGGGCCGCAGGGTCCGACCCCCGCCCGTTGGACGGCTTCTTCTTCATGGCAGTGGAGTTTTGGGGGTGAAGGTTGGATCAGGATGGGGTTGAGCAGCTCCGGTGCCACATCGGAATTATCCAGAGCCCCCGGGCTGGTGGTGCTGGAGCACTCGGTGGGAGCCTGGATGTGGCCCCGGTCACTGTCCCTGTGAGGAGGGAGGGGACAGACACAACCTGCCCCCACTGTCCCCTATTCCCAGTCCCTGCACGGAGCTCCTCAAGCCCTGACGCCAATGCAGATGTCCCCAGGTCCTGTCCCCATCAAAGGGGTTCTTCCAGACCGGCCCAAATAAAAAGGTCCCAAAGAGCCGACCACAATCCCAAAATGAGGATCCTGCATCCCAGACCCAGCACGAGGGTCCCCGTGTCCCAGCCCCCTGTGACCTGTCCCTCTGTGACCCCAGGTGCCATGCAGGGCTCCCCACAGCCTGACCCAAATCCCGACACCGCAGTCCCAGTGTCCTGATCCCAAGTGCAGCGTGAGTGTCCCCATGTCCTGCCCCTGAGTTCCACGCGAGGGTCCCATATCCCCACTCCAAGCAGGATGCAGGCAGTCCCTGCGTCCTGACCTCGAGGGGGTTGTGAGGAGCCCCAGCTCCCAACCCTAAATGTGATGGATGCAGTCCCCACATCCCACCCCCAATCAACCCCAAGAGATCCCTGCATCCCGAGCACACAGTCCGGACCCCAAGCGAGCTGCACATGCAGCCCCACATCCCAAACTGCAGTAAGATTTTTAAGGTTCCCCCCCATCCTTCCCCCTCTCCCAGCGCTCCGTCCGCCTCCCTGCTGTCCATGCATTCCGACCCCGCGTGGCCGTCCTTCAGGGGTGATCCCCAAAACACCAGTGATGGGGGGCAGCAGCTTTGGGGGTGCTTTTTCGGCCAGAGCACCCACCGAGGGACTCGCCAGGCCCTTCTCCAGACACGCCAAGGGGGTCTGTGCTCCCTCGGCCCGGCTGAGACCGGCGCAACTCGTGTCACGGAGCCGCAGCCGCCTGGGGGCAAACACATGGGAAAGGAGGGTCCGGCTGCACCAGGCGCGGCCTCATGAGGTGTGGGGGGGTCCCTCCGGTGCCGCCACCCCCGTTACAAGCTCAGGTTGGCCCCTCTGTCATTCCGGCGCAATTTGGGGGGTCTCCCCCCCTCCCCCAGCCAATCGGCGGTCGGGCAGCCCCCAAGCCCCGCCCCGCTTTTCCCACGCTCCGTTCCTCAGTGGAGCCCCCGGCCCACCGGCCACCCTGGGGGGCCCCGAGGGAGGGATGCCGACCCCAAAATTTGGGGTGCGCGTGAGCGTGTGCGCGACAGCGGACACCGAGCATCCCCAGGGACCCCCATCCCGCCGGGCCCCCATCCCGGCTCACGGGCAGCTCTCGCTCGGGTGGCTCCGGAGAAACGCAGGTGAAAAATTGCCGGTGCTGCGGGTCCTGGCCTTCGCTGGTTGTTTTCCCTCCACCAGTGGCTCCTCCGGCAGCTCCCGCCGTGGCGCAGGGATGCTCGGCCCGTGGGCGTCAGGCCCTCACCGCCAGCCAGGCCCCGGCGAGCCCGAGCCCACGGAGCCCACGCCGGGCACGGGGCAGGCAGCGAACTCCCATTTCCTGCCTCCGATCTGCCCGCGATGAATCACCGCAATTTTCCTCCCCGGTTCTCTCCGTTTCTTGGAAGCGACGGCGAGCAGGAGCGCTGGCTCCGGCTTTTTGGAAAACGCGGCTGCGGCTGATTTTCTCTCTCCCTTTCCCCCCTCTCCTCCAGCGCGCCCGGCGGAGCAGCGATTTCTAACCCAGACACGTACACACGTGGTCGCTCGCTCGCCACCCCCTGCCCCGGTGCTCGGACCCCTTTCACCCCAATTTCTACATTCCTTGGGGAGTTTTGCCCACTGCTGCCCGCTTTTGCCAGAAAAAGAAAAGAAGAGGGATGGCTCCCACCACACTGCAAAGCACCCACGTAGCCCAGAGCCTCCCCAGCACCCTCTGGCCGGCCGAGGAGAAGCTGCTTCCAGCCCCTGGGATGCACTTGGCTCCCGGGATGGGAAAGCAGCAGTCTGGGGAGGAGATGGGGTCTAACGCCCTGTCTCGTGCCCCAGGGATCCCAAGGGTGCAAGGAAAAGGGTCCAACCGGTGGCATTCAAACCTTGGGTCACTGCCAGCACCAGCTGCTTCGAGACACGGGAGATGCGCTGGCAGAGCCACCGGAACAATCGATAGCGTAGAAACTGGGGAAAAAAAGGAAAAAAAACAGGACAGATGGGGCTGAAGAAATAACATAACGGAGCCCAGTCTGGTCAGGAAGCGGAGACTGGAGAAGAGCGAGCGGCGGAGGCAGCACAAACCTCCCTGGATGCACTCGCTCCGTTGGCAGGGAAGGTTTTCCCACACAATCCCGGTCACTGCTCCTGGGAAGCAGGGATCAATCCCTGCTAAATATGACCAGCCCTGTGGCCTTTGGCTTTGGCTCACTGTGCAGAAATCACTTAATTAAAACCACAGCCAAGAAAGCTGATGATGATGGAGGGAGCCAATGGCTGGGTTTGGCACAACCCAAAATTCAAGGTGCACCTGCTCAGGCGTGAGAAATCGGTGTCAGCCAGAGTAGTGTTTTAAAAAACACATCTGTGGGGCTGTTGGTGTTGGAATGTTACTGGGAAGAGGGAGGTGGCAAAATGCCCAGTGGTTGAGTGAGGGCTCCTTGTCCCCATAAATATCCTACCAGTGAAAGAAGTTTCTCAGGTGTGACTCACTGCAACGCCAACAAACCCCGCCATTTCGGCACAAGCGGCCCCAGGAACGAGCCATTAACTAATGTTTCTAATTGCTTTACATCCCTGCGGATTATTCTTTGATTGGAGCTTTCACTCACTCTTTGCCATCAGCTGTGACTTTTTGCCTGCTGTTTGCACACTCCTTACAGGGCTGGGAACAATTCAGGCCACTTCTATAGGAATTTTTTAACTCCCCGTTGTTAGAGGCAGCACACTGGGACAGCAACTGAAAAGAATAAATTCAATAAGGCTATTTTCTCCCTTTCTGCGTGTGTAATTCCCCTCCTCTCAGCACAGTTCGTGCACAGCTCTTCGCAAAGGCACGTTGGAGGCTGTCAGATCCCATCGGAATCGCTGCCCTGGGCACGGCAGAGCCGGGGACGTGGCAAGATGTGCTTTGAAGGTGCTGCTGTGTTGAGTGATCCCCACTGATCCCACAGGAGAAGAGGTTCCCAACAGAGCTTTCTTCTCCCTCACCTTTGTCTCCAGAAAAACCAGGGAAGAGAAAGGTCAGGAGCTGGTCCAACTACAGAGCTTGGCAGGGGCTCAGGCTAAATCACGCTGGCACTGTGCTTTTAACAAAGATCTGCCTCTGCAGCAGTCCCTGGGGACTGTATTCCCTCCTCTCTACCTTTCCAGGAGGAGAAGCTGTGGTGAGGAGAGAAAGGACACAGGAAGCAGGCCTGGAATCTAGTTTCATTTTATTTTAGCAAACCGCATGTTCTTCACTTATCAACATCTCTACATTAGCAATTGTATAGCTCTCCAACTTCTCTTTAAAAAAGGGTAAACAAGAGGGGACAAACTCAGGCTTTTTTTTTTTTTTTTCATCTCTTAAAAACATCTGAAAGTTGGACTCAAGAAGACTTTGATATATTTTGGTTTTAAGGTAACAGATGTGGCATGGAAACACTAATTCAAATCCCCCGCCTGATCGAGAACTGCCCCTTTGGGAGCCCCTCTGGCACCAGACCCTCAGGAGAGGCCGAAGATGCGACTCACCCTCGTCACACAGCCCTGGAGGAGCTGGATGTGCCCCCCCTCAGCCCGTGGCTCTGAGGAAAGCAGCACCTCGGGGCTCAGTGCAAGTGCTGTATGTACACGGCTCCCCCACGGGAGCGCCAAGGCCCTCGGCACGCAGGGATGTGGGGAGGAATCTTCTGCTGCGGCACCTTCTCGTTAGAGAATCACATTCCCCCAGTCATCCTGTTCCTGCTGTCTAAAGATATAAAGATCTTCTTTGAAGAATTGTTTCAAAAAGCCAACCCTCCCCCCGGAACCCACACGGAACACCGTAAATGTACAGATTAGAGACGCCCTAGAAAAGTCCTAAAATTATTGCAGAAACTAAAGATGACTCGTTCCAGGGGAGGGGCAGGCACGAGGCACAGCATCGAGAGCTACCGAACGCTGCGGGCGGTTTGATTTAGTTTTCAGCTTTTTTCCCCCCATCATTCAAGAAAAAAAAAAAAAATTAAAAAAAAAAATTAAAGAAGTGTTTAAGCATCAGAACTAAAATACAAATGCACGTTGACTTATAAAACAAGATTGTGGATTTGACCATGGGGTTCCCTGACACTGGAAACATTTTACTTTTTTGCCCGGAGAGATTTCCTCATGGTGGATTTGCCCTTAGCCGAGGGTTTCACTTCCTTCCTCCCGCTGGCTGCTGATTTCTTGGAAGAGCTGCCACCAGAGGGTTTCTTGATGGCTGAGGCTGCTGGTTTGGCTTTCTTAGCAGGGGTCTTAACCTTGGGAGGGGGCTTTGCTTTCCCCCGGCGGGCCGCAGGGGTTTTCCTTGGCTTGGGTTTGGACTCTCGTCGCTTCATCGGAGGGGCCCTGCTCCGGGATTTGGGAGGTGGTCTCTTCTGCATCCTGTCGGGAAGAGAGACAGCACAGGAGCTCAGTGGAGGTGTAAGGGTGCCAGGAGCAGAGCTGCTGTCAGCAACTGGCAGTAACGAGGCAGATCTTGGCATCCCTGTGCTTTGCCACGGCTGCTCCTCACGCAGCAGCACATTCCGTGAGCTGCATCCCAAAGAACAAGAGCTCCTCCGGTAGCTGAGCTCTTCCCATCCCCACAGAGCTCTGCCAGAGAGGCTTCCAACCCCTTCCTTAGGCAAATAAACAAATAAATAATGACAGTGAATCAGGGAGCTGTCAGAACAATTAAGAGCCCTCAGCACTCTCTCTCCTCTCTAAATGGAATTTCATTACTTAATGAACAACACATCTTAAATCCACATCCTGAGTGAGGGCAGGCCTCTTGTCTGGCTACAGAGCTGCAAATAATACTGTAGGGAAGAGTTTTCCTAAGGAAACACTTGGTAAATACAAAAAGCCCCGTGTGAAACATCCCACTTTATAAAGCAGGAGACCAAAGGCAATATGAAGAATAAACGCAGGCTCTCTCTCAGCTGGAGGAAGAAAGAGGAAAGCTTCAAATTATGCAAAGGGGGAGATCAGTATCTCTGGAGTAAGGAATAATTAGAAACTTCTCCTTCCAACACCTGTGAGCAACAGCCCCGTGGCTAAATGACCGCACCAAGAGTCACCTGAGCACCCTACAGCTGTGACAGACACTTTTATTTCATCCAAAGGAGCCCACTCATCTCTCAGGCTGCCATACCTCTTCTTTGGTGGGGGCTCTTCCTCCTCAGACTCTTCCTCTTCAGATTCTTCTTCCTCCTCAGATTCCTCCTCTTCTTCCTCATCAGATTCCTCGGAGTCCTCATCCTGCTGCTTCTCTGGGTAGAGCACATCTGGGCTACAAGAGGGGGCTGCTCAGAGTGTGAGTTGCCTCTAAGGATATGACTCCAGGCTTGGCAGGCCTTGGATAGCCCTGGCTCTCATCTGGCACAGCAGATTCCCCCTGAGGTTACAGCTTTGAGCCGAACCCAGAAATGCCCCCAGAATTCTGTGACTGCTGCTATCCCAAACCAACATTCCCCAGTCTCTGCAGTGGCAGAAGCACAACAGCTTGGGAATGCCCCAGGCCTGAGCTGCCTCTTCTCTGGCTCTCTGCCTGATTTCTCCTTCCCTGCAAACCCTGCTAATGAAATCAGCTCTCTGTTCACCCACAGTCAGACACCCAAGCAATGTCATTAGCCAGAGTAAGGGGGACAGTTTGGCAGCTCATCAGTTACTAGACCCCTCACAACCTCCTTCTAAATAGAAGGTTGTTGGCTCACGAACCTCAGCTCTGCCACCTGACCCGTGCAACAGCTTCTCTCGAACACCATTTTACAGCCAAGCTCTTTACCTGGGATAATAAGGGAAGCAAAGCTGAAAGGTTCCACTGAAGCCCTTGCCAGAAATTTGCTCCATCCAGCCATTCTTCTCGCATTTCTGCAGGGTTCTCTTCAGTAGATGCACTGTGGAAGAGAAATCAGAGAGAGGTTGTGTTACTATCTTTGTCCTCTTGTCTGACTTCACTGCTCTCTGCAGCGCCCTCTGAAAGCAGAGCTGGAGTCAGGACGGGAAATCCTCTCAAAGCCAGTTTTCAAGTAAGATACAAGTGATTGTTCCTGAGCACGTGGCAAGTGTAGCTCTACATTCCCAAGGGAAGAAGTCAGGAATGGTCCTCGTTTCTCATGTCATGATCAAGGGATGCTCCTTCAAATGCATTCAGCAGCACCATGTAACTACTTCTGTCCAAATTTAACCCAGGCCTCATCTTTCTTCACTCTGTCCTCCAAAGGGTTTTTTTAAAACAAGCCTTTTTCCCTGTTTTTGCCCTCCTCACGTTCTAAATGTCGTATGTGCTGCATCATTCCCTGTTCTGTGGTTTGCTTTTTGTTGTGTTTTTTAAAGGGTAAAATATGGGATCCAGGAATACAACAAATGCACTTTTTATTCCAGTCTTTGATTCCAGACTTTTATTTCAACCACTCCATTGTGCACTGGGTAAGAATTGTAACTCAAACCGTGCAAGTACAGGGGATCTTTGTCTGTGGCAAAGGGCTGTGGTGGTTTAGTCAGTTCAGAACCATTTCCAGCTTGAATTAGAGGGGCCATTTACATATTGAGCTCCCTCCAAACCCAGGGAAAAGTGGGGGCTGCCCTTTAAGCACGTTCCAAAGAGGTTTATGGTTATAACCCCAAGGCTGGTTTTACTCTGGGTACCAAAGATCAACAGCAGAATGTAAAGGATTTGACTGACCCCAGTCAAGTCCAGTTATAAGCTGAGGTATAAACTGGGGAGGAGAGCTGAGCTCTGGCTCTGCTTTCTCATCTCATCAGATCTTCCTCCAGTTGCTCTCAGAACAAAGCAGAGATCATCAAAATTCCTTTTACGTAACGGAAGGAGGAAGAAAACAACAGATTGCAGCTGAGATTTCTTTATCTGCCTTGCAGGAGTGACAAGCACTGGAGGCTGGCTCAGCACAGCCCTCTAAGGACCAGGGACATTTCCAATGGTCCTGAGAATAAACCATTCCAGGAAGGTTTATTCCAATTAGGAAGCCTGGAAGCTCTTTCCCCTTGCCCCAAGATTAAGAAGTCACACTTGACATCAGTCTCTAATTGGCAGAAGGCCTCAGCCCAAATTACCCAAATAAGCCACTCCCAGGTCTGCTTTAAAGCTCTGATAGCACTGCTTCTGCTAAAGCCAAAGTCAAACCAGACATCAGTGTCACTCCTGGGAACAAAGACATGCCACATCTCCTTCCAAATACAAAGGGATTCATTTCTCTCCTCATCTGCTTGACCTTTTAAAAATCAGAGCCAAACAAGGACCTCGAACAAATCAGTAAGAGGAGTGCTCAGGAATTTTTTTAGAAGTCAGACTGTGCAACTTCTCTAAATAAAAAGCAATTAGGAAGTGCATTGATACCAAGCTGTCGCCTTTCAAAACAGAGAGAGACAGAGGAAATCAACTTGGTGATTTAAGAGCAATCAAGTACTTGAATACTATTCCCCCTTCCTGGCTACAGACAAGAGGATCATGCATTCTGCCTCAGGAACAGGCCTTTGTCCGGCTTGAAAGGGACTGATGGGAATTAAAACCACTGAGCATCTCTGCAGCACAAAGAGCTGAGCAGCTGCAGCTCCCTGCGAGCTCGATGGAACAGTTTAAAGGTGCTGCACAGGCACATCTGCAGCTGCAGGACTCTCCCTGTCAGCACACAGCAGGGTTACATGGATGGTACTTTACCCTGGAAGTTGGAGTTGGTCCCTGGGTAATTTTCCAGGATATACTTCTTCAGCGCTGTGGTGGAGCAGGTCTTCGGTTCGTTCATGGCCACAATAGCAGACAGGATGGCGTCTTCCATCAGAGTCCCACCCAGCAGGGGCTTCTCCCCTGATTTCTTCAGCTATTTTCCAAGGAGGAAGAGAAAAGCATCAAGACAAAATTCTCCCAAACCAGGTCAGGACAAGCTCCTCTGCACCAGGTGGGTCGGCGCTCCTGCATCAGCACAGATACGTTGAACATTAAACACTGCAGAGGGAACGCTGCTCTCCCAGCTCTCGGTGGGAGGCCAGGCCCAGTCAGTCAGCTGGCCTGGGGGGATTATCAGCAACACCTCACCCCAGACCCCAAACACACCGCCAGTCTAAGGGCCTATCGCTCAGGGGAGGGGATAAAGCAAAATACATCAGATCATCCTCATCCCACGGACCAAATGTACCCGAGGGACTTCCGTGGCACAGACGTGAGTAAAAGACACAGCAGGCATCTGGGGTACCTGCTGCACTTCCAGTGAGGGATGGGAAGGAAGGCTTACCCCACCAGCTCCCTACTGTGCTGGTGAGTCAGAGCTGAGGCAGCGTGTGCAGCTCGCTCAGCAAGGAAACGGGGGGTGGTCTCCTGAAATGGAGACCAAGAGCAGACCAAGAGTCCTACTGTGCTTCAGAGCTGGACAAGGCCTGCACACGCCAGGCTGCTGAAGAAAGGGGTACCCAGTGAAACCGGGGACAGGAGCAGTAAGTGACATCCAAGGCTTGTGGTCAACAGAAGATGAACTCAGTCTCTGACCTGGAATGTCCCAGACGCTCCCTTCCCCGTGATCTGCTCTAACTGGCCCTTCTCTACAGCTCTCTGCAGGGCATTCTTCAACAGCTGGGGCCTGAAACACAGGAGGAGAAAGCTTTACTGACACACACACTGACAGCTTCAAAAACAAACAGAGAAACAATCATTTGCAGAGTGTGAGCAGAGCGGCACTCACTGCGCTGTCTGCCCACGTACAGACATGGAAAATGGAGCCCTGTCAGGGGCTCATGACACGGAACAAGGCAGCGCTGTGGGAGAGGAGCTGCAGCACCTGCTCGGTGCCTCTGCCAGGAACAGGCACCTGCCCCTTGCACCAGCACAGCTGGGTGTGGTGGGCAGGCAGTCAGCTCACAGCTAACACAAGCCCCTGTTGGAGGGGACACACAGGGCTCTCCTAGTTTTGCTTCCCAAGCCTCGACTCGCTCCCTACAGGCAAACTGCGAGATTGCTGCACACGTGTGCCAGCTGAAGCACCCAGAACCACGTGGGATGAGACCCCCAGGCCTTCACACCCCCACAGCTGAGGGCATGTGGGTTTGGTTAAGGTGTGCAGAGCAGTGTCAGGGACAGACTGGGATGGGGGATGCAGAAAAAGGCACCGCTTTGCCTCAAGCTTTCCACAGGCTCTGCCACTCAGAGCGGCACCTGCCTAAAGACGGGACTGAAGCACCACGGAGGGAGGCAGAGCCAGAGGAAGGCTGAGCCCCCCTGCTCCTCTGCTTGCCAAGGGACTCCAGCACCTACCTTACGTCTACTTTGAGTTTGGGGTAATACTGAGACACGTATTTCTTGATCAGGCTGTAGGAAGCTTCCTTGGGCTCGCACAGGCGGGTGAAGGCCAGGGGCAGCACGTCCTCCAGCTTCACCTGCTGCTCTGCAGGCGGGGCCGAGGTGCTTTTCTGAAACACACACACCTGAACGCATCAGCAAGGCCCAAAACTCTGGGTTTCTGAACCAGCAGTGCACGGGTGGGGAGGAGAGCTCCTGGCCATGGCCACAGAGCTGGAAAACCAGGTGCTGGAAGGCAGCTCTCTAAATGAACAACTTTAAAACTTTAAGTAAAATGGAGCAAATTTGGCTGAATTTTCGTAGGAGTCTTAGGAAAACTTTGCAGATACAAATTGCTGAGTATTTAACATATTTTTAACGATTTCCTTCCTTTTTCTATAGAAATTTTTCCTCTGTTACCCTTCAATGAGACAGGAGAAAAACCATAGAATCACAGAATCATTAAGGTTGGAAAAGACCTTTAAAATCATTGAGTCCAACTGTTCCCCCAGCACTGCTGGGGCCACCACTAAACATGTCCCCAAGGGCCACATCCACATGTTTCTTGACCACTTCCAGGGATAGTGACTCCACTATTGCCCTGTTCCAGGGCTTTACAACCCTTTCTGACATGAAAATTAAAAACCCATCAAAGGCAGGACCCATCTACACAGATCAAATCTTCCCCAAAATGAGCAGCTACAAGCGAGTCCATTTTTTTTGAGGTAACACAGTAAGAGTTTGATTGAAGCCAATGCCCCTTCTAAGTTTTCCTCCATCCTTTTTGTTACACTGGGGATGATCAGGAAAGAAAGGTCTACTCTCTGTAGAGAAAATGTGCTGAAGTTCTGTGATTCGATGCTGAACAGCAGCTCTGCAAACAGTCCAGCGGGTGAGGGAGCTGCTCCCCAGCCAGCTGAATTCACCAAAAACATTTGTTTTGCTGCCACACAGAGAAGGGAACTACAAAGAAAGACACCAATAAGAGAGAAGTGATGTCTCAGCAGGTATCAGGTGCCTTGCTCACACTTCTCATGGGGTCAGTGGCCTCTGTTTAAAGAGCTACAATGCAATGACCTTCCTTCAGTGCCCTACACCGTGTGTGTGACCATTTCCCTCAGTTTTAGAGCTCTTGGTCTCCCTGGGAGGTCAGAGAGGAGCACCAAGGTGTTACCTGTCTAAGCCCCCAGGGGATGGGCAATTCCAGGTGAGGATTTTGTAACTGCAGCATTAGGAATGTGTTTCACACACCCAGCACAGCACAGAGTGGAGAACAGCAGTGCTGGAGCCATGACTGACTGTGAAGCTCAAGAAACCAGCCCCATCACATTTTACTGCCTCAGAACAACACCCAACATCAGCAGGTTTCTTCCAGTAGCTTTAGGATTTTTTCTTTTTCCTCCCTCTGCCCTCACAGCTCATGGAAAAACGTTCACCTGGCAGTCCTGGAGAATGGAGTACTCCCTTTATCCACACAACAGATAGAACAGACACAGCAGTAGCATAAAGCTCTCTTACAATACCTGAGAGGCATCTCTCTCTACCAGGTAAAGACAGAGGAGGAGCTTCATGGTTATTCAGTTTTCTGCCTCTGAACCAAAGCCTAGGGGTTTAATGTAAACATTTTAAAACTAAGAATTTGATTATTCAACTCGGTTTTCAGTTCTCATAGTAGCTTTCTGATTCTGATGTGAGTGGGAAGGGTGTTTTAATGACTGTGCTTGAGGAGGAGAAGCACAGCAAGGAGGAGACACTCTCTGTGTAGGGATCAGGTACATCTCATAAGGTATGTGTGTTTCAGTGCAAGATTTTTCAGAGTATGGTTTAAAGTGATCCATCTTACCTTTCTGTCTCTGGCTTTTGGAACAGTTTTTCCTGCATTAGACACCACCATAAAGCTCCCAGAAGCTCCCTTTCCTTTCACCTAGTTCAAAAGAAAGTCCATTTCAGTAACTCAGAATAATATCAAGTTGAGAGAGACTCACTGATATCATGACATCTCATGACACTGAATGTGCTGTCACCCTGGTGATGGTAGAGGCCTGGCCTGAACCCACTGAAAATTCACTAAGATCAGAAGCTGCAGCCAGACATTAATACAGACTCTGCTGTCCTGAGCAGGAGATCCTGGCAGATAACACAGGCATAAACTGTAGTGTTAGAAACCCACTGCTGGGCTCATGGGTGCTGCAATGCTGTGTGACACAACCCCCAGAAACGGTCAGCAATTGCACAGAAACCAGCTGTGCAAAGGAGCTGAGTGCCAGAGCAGTGCTGAAATCCTGCCAGGTCTAACAGAGTGGAGACAGAGCCTCATGAACCTCCACCAGGGAGACCATGGTCAACCCAGAGACCTCCATTAGCAATGGAGTCAAGAAACTCCTGTGTAAGTCACAGGATCATGGAATGGTTTGGGTTGGAAGGGACCTTAAAGCTCATCCAGTGCCACCCCCTGCCATGGGCAGGGACACCTTCCACCAGCCCAGGTTGCTCCAAGCCCTGTCCAACCTGGCCTTGGACACTTCCAGGGATTCAGGGGCAGCCACAGCTTCTCTGGGCACCCTGTGCCAGGGCCTGCCCACCCTCACAGGGAAGGATTGTTTTCCAGTATCCAGCCTGAACCTACTGTCTGTCAGTTTGAAGCCGTTCCACTTGTCCTGTCACACATGCTCTTGTAAAAAGTCTCCCTTCAGTACTGCCACCCCCAGTGCTGCTCCACAAAGCAGCTCTTACCTGCCTGATGATCCCCCTCTCCAGCTCCCTTTTCAGTGCTTGCTTCAGGAGATACCCTCTCCTCTCCAGCTCCAGGGAAGGGTATTTGTGGATGATGTATTTCCTTATTGCAACCACCGACGCCCCACTCTTCTGAAAGCAGGCCTGAAACAGAAACAAAACATCAGTAGAAACCACCCGCACTGGGATTGTCCTGAGTGGGGCTGGAAGAACAGAGACCGGACTGATGCACAGGGTGCCAGAGCTGGCCTCTTCCTCACAAAGGCTGAAGAGCTTAAAAGGACTAAGGAAATACTTAACTTTTGCCTTCAGAGTAGCTGAAGAGCAGACAACACAAAAGCAGCCCAGCAAGCACACATCAAGCACCCCCCTGCTCTGAAGCACTGGCATGGAATGGCTTAAAACAGAAAATACAGCACCTTCTGGCAAACCAACACTGCACAACTGGTAAAGCATTTTATTAACGTCAAGACAGAGGAATCACTAAGTCAGAACAAGCTGTCATTTAATTCTTTTAAGAGAATGCAGGTTTATAGTATCTCTCTCTGCCCTGAATTAGAGGAAGCTAATGATGAAGAAAGAACACATATCAAATAAATGTCTTCATCAAGATAAAGGAAGTTAAATGCATCCAGAAGGCACAGCAAATAACTCATGACAGCAATCCACCAGGTTATGCCATCCTGGCTGTTTCTCATAATGTAATTAGGGAGGGAAACAAATTCTAAACCAAGAAATCAGCTACGGGGCCCTTCATCATCCTCATGGACTCACATTTTGGCTCCACAGGCAGAAGCACACACACCTGACACACTGCTGACAGACAGCACTACCCCCTGTACCTCAGCAAGCTGAAAAAGTGCATTTTAGGCACACAAATCACTTTGCTTTGCAGCAGCAGAACCAAAGACACACTTGTGCCCTGCTCACCCTGATGGCCTCGGTGAGAATGGCGTCCATTTTGGGCCGGGACGTGGCTGCCATCTGGGTCTGCTTCTGTGCCCGGGCCAGCTGGCTGGCAGACAGCGTGGCCCACGCAGGGATGGTCTTCTTCACCTTCTTCTCCTTCTCCTTGGCCTGCTCCTTCTCGCTTGGGGAGCACACAGAGCAACAGTGAGACAAGAGGCACTGAGACAGAGCCAACAAACACCACCCCCCAGCCCAGAATGTCTGCCATCGCTTGAATTAAAATGACTTAGAGAATATTTGGAGGTTTCTGTGAGTAAAAGAGAGTCTGTCTCGACATCCAGCCTCACATGTGTTCTAGAACAGCAGCTACGTAGGATCAGTAGCTTCTTCCTGAGAAATATGAGCACCTTAAGGGGCTCATCCCATTTCCCCATCTCTCCCACCACCTTTTCTCTCTCTAAGCCCTGACTTCCTTCAGAATCCTACCCAATTCCCTGAATTCAGCACCAAGCAAGCCTTACTCCTTTTTGGTTTCTTCTGAGGACTTTGTTTCCCCCTTCCCTTCATTCTCAGGTTCCTTTGGCTGTTCTGCTTCATTGGATGCAGCAGGCAGGGTTTCAGGCTCCTGTTCCTCTCCAGCAGAGGCAGATTCCTCAGAGGTGACTTCTGCATCTAAAAGATGTGAAAAAGCTTCAAGTTACTGCCCAAAACCAGCTTTTTATTATTCAGGAGTGTAAAGGGAAAAAAAAAAAAAAAGGCTTAAAACACACCCCAAAAACTATTTCCCACTGATTTCTCTAATTTAAATAGATGATTTAAATGTAACTTAAAAAGTGAACAAAACTACTGAAAAGAGCTTCGGTAAAGTGCAATCAACCCTCAAATGCCAGAAAACCTGCAAACAACATCATGAAGCATTTTCACAACCTAAACCAGTCTGGGATTCAATGAAGTAGCTTTGTTTATGACCAAGTTGTCTTCAGACCCAGAACCACTTGAAGGGTATTTAGCATCCCATCCCATTTTTCCACACTTGGGATGCTTTAGATTGCACATGCACTTGCAGGAACACTTGTGTATCAGAAGGATCAAATCCAGGCAGAAATCAACTTAGCAAATATATATTTAGCTGAGAACAGGCCTTAGAGACTGGGCTGCCTACTAGATAAGACAAATATAAACTGAAATTCCACACATTTTGGATAAAGAGCTGCCCACCATCACTGCTCTGTGCAGCTCAAGAATTCCTGGAACATTCCCATGCACAGTTTTCCCATGGAGGTGTTTAAAATGCACAGTGAGTTAAGAGAAGGTTTCATATGTAATTAATCGTGAAACCAGAGAGGACAAAGTCAGTGAAACCAACTGTAATAGTGAAGTGACACATTCTGAGACACTGAGGTGAGGCTGCTCAGCCCAGACTGGATTTTATGACACACTGTGGTAAAATGTTTCTGTTCAGAAAAACAAAGAAAAAAAATTAAATGCTTTGTTTCTCTATTCATTAGCTCTACCTTTTGATCTCAAGCCATCATCCTGACACTACTGAAACTTCCCACTTTCCTTACTCTAAAAGATGTGCAAGCTTAAAAGGGACTATATTTAGCCAGATTTTCACGTCTGGAGTGTCAGGACTTTGCCAAGGGGTATGCAAGACAAAACAAACGGGTTTGAGCTGAAAACAGTGTGAAAACAACTTCCAATAATCCTGGAAACGCCTGGGACCAGGAGTCAAGCATTAGTGATGCTTTAACCTTGGCAGTTGGGTTTTCTCAGGAGTTTCAGAACACAAGCCTGCGTTTGGATGCACTTTAACAACCCACTGTTGAACCGTGCCATACCTGCTTTGACCTCTTCCCCCTCGGCAGGTTTGCTCTTGGGAGGAGTTTCCCGGGAGGTGGAATTCACGGAGCGGCGGATTGGCATCGTGTCGTCTTCGACTTTCTACGAGGAGCACACGAAAATCACCACAAGATGCTGGGAAGAACCAGCAAGGTTTGCAGCGGGATTAAAGCAAATCAAAGCAGCATAGGTAGAAATGTTCTGGTTTGGATGTTTCAGGATGTTAAAGCACAGTAACCCTCAAACCAGCTCCTTCAAAGCGTACTAGGAGAGGATAGATTCGTATTTTACGGTTACAAAAGAAGCCATTTCAATTCCAAATTAAATGAGAGATGAGGATTTGGAGAGATACATCATCTCAGGGAAAGCAGGGAGGGGATGCAGAGTTTGTTTAGGCTCCCAGTCGAGTCTCCTGGAAGCAGGGGAGGAAGAGTACTGAGTAACCTTCAGCAGGACTGGAAGTCAAGGACTGATCCAAGGGCAAGCTTGGAGAAAGGGCCAGCCCCTACCTCACTTAACTTGTCCGTGTGGATCAGCTGAGCTCCCGCTAAGAGTGGAAGCGCCTTATGATGCACGGGTTCAGCTTCAGACAGATCAGTCGCCATTTAAATTAATTTCTAGCCCCAACACTGTGGAGCCCCAGGTTTTAACCCCAAGGAACTTTTTCCTAATGGTTTTCACAGTGCAGTGAGGAGTCAACCTAAAGTACAGAAAAGATGGGGTGTGAAAATTAACAAAACAAAAACATCTACGTCCACGCATCTATCAAACTAAAGATCAAAAAGAAAAGGGTAAATGATTTACAGCTCGGGGCCGACACAGCTGATGAGCAACACTTGCATTCAACAGAGGGGCTGAAACGTGGATGGGAACTGCAGAGCTACGGATGGAGCAGAGCTGGGGAAGGTGCAAGCCAGAGCTGCTCCACTGAAACACGGCTGAAAGATAAAAAGGCTCTTTAAATTCAGGGCAAGCGTTAGCAAAAAGCAGCCATGGATGGCACTGTGGCCCTCAGAGACGCTGGGTGAGAGCAGCAGCTGACACACGGGGTGAGGAATGAAACCATTCAGGCTGTTAGGCAGGAAACAAACACTGGGGACCCAAACCATGCCCCCACCCCAAATTAAACCCCATGCAGTTTAAAGAAATGAAGGAGGCTGTCGATAAAAAACGTAACGAACAAAACAGCGTTCTGCATGCTTGCCACAAAGAAAGGTGAGCTTTCCAAAACTCTGCTCCAAACACATGCACTGCCATGGATGCCAAACAGGTTAAGCTCAGTTTAACCCTCTCCAAGTCTCAGTCCTTCCTCCTGTTACACTGTGACAGCCTTTCTTACCTGTTGCCCACCTGCCTGCACTGCCCTCTCCTATGGGGAGGGCTCCACTGATTCCATCACCCAACAGGGCTCATCACAAAACGGGCTCCTTCAGTTCCCTCTCGGTTTAGTTCCCCTCCAAAACCCTCAGGGGCAAAGCCTCCCCTCCAGCAAAGCAGGGCTGCACCCTCCTCCCCAGTTCCACCCCCCAGCCTGTGCTCTTCCCTTCCCCACTGTCACCTGTTCTGGCTGGGTTTTTGCTCAAAGGGAGGCACTTTCCATACATTTTCACTTTTAATAAGTATTTTGCCCAGCGTGTTTTCCTCTTGAGCAGAGACCCACCAGCGCTGCCAGCCCTGCTTCCAAGATGACCTTCAGCACTGTCAGCAGTTGCCCTGCACCGCACCAGCACCAATTCCTGCCCCAAAACACAGTCCTCTCATCTTCCAGCACCGGGGATTCCTAATCAGAGGCACTTCTGGCAGGAACTGAACAGTCACTGAGAAACCACAGCCCTGCCTCAGCACCAGGGAAAGCGAAGCCCAGCAGCACCACGTGTTTTCTTCTGAGACCAAACAGAACAACCAAAACACACCACATGCCAAACCCCCACAAAAAAAATAAAAATAAAAATTAAAGAGATGAACGAAGCTTTCCTGTGGAATGTCAGGATGGGGAAAAAATACTAATGGTCAATTAGAAAATATGAACTACAGGCCAGCACATTTTTGGCCGGTTTTAAGGGATCATCCTTCCTCAAGTGTGGAAAGGGGGAGGAAAAATGAAAATTTTCACCAGGCTTCAGCTCAGTATCCGATGTTTTTTCATGCAAGCAGAGCCTGAAGTCCTTTAAAAAGATGCCAACATTTTGAAATGAGTCCCGAAACAACCAACTCCAGATGCCTCCTCAGGGAAATCAGCTGGGCTCGTTCCCTGGGATGACACACACAAGCCACACTGTGACTGAGCTGGCCCTGGGTTTTATTTATTTTAAACTGTGTGACCTGCATGGCACATGCATGAAAATACAGCACTCCCAACTTTGACTTAAAATTGCCTGAGTTCTCAAAACCTCTTTGTTTAGATCAGTGCACAAACCTTTTTGCTCTAAAGAGCAAAACTTGCCACAATTCCTCACTTCTGTGCCTACAACACAGGCAAAGAAGGCAGAGCCCAGCAGAAATTGCTGATTCCCTCTGCATGGATCATCTCCTGCTCCAAAGGGAATCAAGGGGGCAGGAGGATAATCCCCTCCTGACTTCAGAGCACTGAGACTCTCCAGGGGCAAAGTCACAGCCCCACCTTGTGAGAGCATCTCACTGCACCTGCTCAGCCCCCTCCTTTCCACACAGGGATCAAAAGTCATTTTCTGCACTGGGTGTGAAGTATCAACCACCAACAGGCCTGAATTTAGCCCCTGAAAAAATGAAGGTGGCTTTGCAACAGCAAAAAACTCACTCCCCCCCTCCAAAAAATACCCAGATTTATTGAATGGAAAAATCAAGTCACACAAAACATTACCTAAACACCCTATTTCAAAAGACAGCTCTAAACAGGAACCACAGTTACAATCACAAGCATCAGTCTTAATAATAGTAAAATTAAAGTAATAAGTGTATTTTGATTTATACAAACACCAAACAAACAATGTGCTTAGAAAGGGGACGAGGTCACCAGCTGAGGATGCAGCTTTCAAGGTGCTTGTTGGGCAACTCTCATGAACACTGAAACCTGGTCTACTCAGAAAAACAGAATTGCATCAGCAACGAAACAACCACCAGGATTCACAGGAGCACAGAAAGTTACTCCTCACACAGCTACTCCCACCCACTGTCCTAAAGGTCCCTTGAACTGCAGGTTCACAGGTTCCCAAACTAAGATGAACTAGTTCTTCCAAAGCTGGTAATCCATCTGACAAGCAGCAAAACCCCCCAAATTTCTGGTTTTCTGGAACGTGTCCAGTCCCCAGCTCAGGGAATGCCCACTAATGGAAGATCCAAAGGTACAGAGAGCTTTCCAGGAACTGTTATGAGAAACTGTAACAATTCTCTCCTATCAGCACATTGTTAGAGAGAAAGGAAAGGGAGGCTTCAAGTGAGACACATTTTGGATAACTAATGTAACAGACACGAGAATATTAAAAAATAAATTAATTTGAGGCACAGTTTGGCTGAGTCCTTGAATTTCTGCTGGCCATAAGATATTTCAGCTTATCTCAGCCTTCAATCTCCCTTGGAGGGAAAACATTCTGGGATCAATCAGGTTTGGAACACGGTAATCCAAGTGTGAGGAAAATGAGGAAGCTTGGCCAGTCCTGAGCTGAGGGGGTGGCCCCTTTCTGTCACACCACATGAATGGCTGATGGATGCACTGAGATGGGACAGGTATAAAGCATGTGACCCCGGTCTAGAAATGAGGTCCAAAAGGGGTAAAAAACAGGTTTTATGCACTTGAAGGTGTCAAGGGATACAAACCCAACAAACTTACAAGCAGTGCAAGCAAGAACAACTATTTATTATCTGAAAGGCTTAAAAAGCGAAGTAAAACTGGATTTAAAAACCAGGCTATTGATTGCTGTGCAATTGCTTACTACTCTATAAAGCTGAAGAGCATTTAACCATCTCAGAAAGCACAGAAAAAAGCACAGGAAAAGTTAATATTTTTGTAAATCCAAATCAAACGTGCCAAAAACCATCACCTTCTGAACTGCAAACTGGCCAACTCTTTCACGGCTTTTGTCCCTCTGAAATTCTCGAAGCTCATCCCCAAAAACCCAGCCCTGGTATCCCCAGTATCTTGTGGTCACAGTGTCTATGCAGCAACACCGTGGATACAAACGTGTTTCACAACCTGTATCTGCCAGTCCTCAGCTGATGCTGCCACTGCTGCTTCCCTGAGCCCTTCCAGCACTCACTGCCCTGCCTTTGGCTTTTCCAGCTTACTGAGCTGACTTGTTAAAGTCACACCAGCAGTATTTGGTCATTTAAACCAGCCTAAAGTTGTGCAAGGGAATAAAATACACCACTGGATACAAAACACGAGTTAGTCCCCACTTCTGATCCTTATCTGGCAACCTGCTTGGAAACTCCCTCACACGTGGCCGAGCACAGCTGGCATTCCCATCCCTTCCGCTGCCATTCACCGGGATTTATCCCAATCCCTGCTTTCCTGGGATGTGTCCCAGCTGCCCAGACTTTGCAGCTCATTCAGCTCCAAGGGCTGTGTTTGCAGCTCTCCTGCAGTGGAGGCTCCCAGGGATCTGTTCCAGGCTACCTGAGCTGCTGCAGAAAGCAGCTTGTTCCAATTAAACAGGAACAGTGGTCCAGGACATGGATCCAAGAGCTCCCAGGCAACACATTCCTTGGGCTGACTGTGCCACAGTGTCCTTTTCCATCCACTCCTTCCCTAAATGGGGTGATGGGGGGAACAACAAACCCCACGTACATCAGGGTCCAGGGAGTACAGGGAAAATCCCTCATGCTTGCAGTGTCCAAACACAGGAATTCCTACACTCAGACACCCAAAGGAGAGTTTTTGTAAGCATAAGTTTTTGTAAGTATAAGTTTTGGTAAGCATGAAGATCTATGCTGCCACCCAGGGCTGAGCTCAGCACCTCGTCCCTGAGAGGGTCCAATACCACCCACCCTAAGCCAGCTCAATCTGCAGAGAGGTTTATTAAAACAGAAGTAAATTCCTGCCTCACCTCCACTGCTCTTCACCCCAAGCTCAGTATAAAATCACTACAGGTTACAGATTCTCTCCCATCCATCTGTGACCTGCACAGAAGGCAGTGACAGCAGATCATCTCCGTGGCCTGGATTATCTTCCACTCCCATATCCAGGAATTTCTCCTCATGTCCCCACACAGAGCCACAGCCAGTGTGCACCTTAAATTACACCACCATCACACCCAGAAATCCCCAAAACTTCAGCCAAGGGATTAATATGAAGCAGAATTTCTGCTTGCACAGCTGTCTCAAAATGCCTCTGCACTGATGCTCAGGGTTGTGACAGTGACAATCTCCGTGGGACAACAGTTTGAAATGGGTTTGTTTTTGCTAAAATGGTCCTTGATCCAGATTCTCCACAGGCTGCCACTGCCACAAGGGCTGAGGGATGAAATCACCCCCATCAGAGTGCACAGGGTTCAGCTTCAGGTTTAAAACAAGTTTAGGTCACAAACTTTAAACTACTCCGACATGAAAATCTCCTGCTGAAAGTTTCACCGCCTTGGATAAAATACCTTCATTCAGGATGCAGCTTTATGAATGTTGACAAACTGCTGACAATTGAATGAAAATTTAGGCTGCAAATGTTGCATCTGAACCTTTTACAGGCCATGTCCTCCTTGCCTAGACAGATTGAATTTAAACCCACTGTATAAACCCTCCTCCCAAACTATTACTCAGCCACCACTTATTATCCTACAGACAAAACTATACATGATAAAAGCCATTATTTCCTTGCAGTCTGTCTAAAATCTACCCACACCTCACATTAGAGGCCATCAATGGAAAACTTTTATTCCCTCTCATGGAAGTTAAAATCCTCAGAGGACCTCGGGTCACGTGTAACAAAGCACTGCCAAAAGATTTACACATCACTTTCTGCTGAAAAGGAAAATACAAGAGGAAAAGATATTCTGGACAAAAATAATTTAATGAGCTTCTACCTGAGGAACGTGAATGATGCATTGAGGAGATAATTTAGCACACAGCTAAAGGGGAAAAAGCTGCAAAAGCCACTTTGTTCGAAGCATTTACTCCCAAAAAGAGTAATTCCCATCCCCATTCATTCCTGATTTCCAAGGATCTCCCACTCTATCCACCAGTTCCTGAGGAAGGTTAGTGCTCTCCTGCCCGGTCCATCCAACAGTTCTTGAACTGAACTCACCTCCCTCTCCTCTCACTGCCCTCCCGGAGGAGTGACAATATTTATAAACACCAGCACTTCCGATCCTTTCCCTCCTCAATGGGCGCTGCCTGCCAAAGTCTGCCGGTCACCTCTTTCTTGAAGATGCTAAAAATACTATTTATGGTCAAAACAAACAAAAGTCACGTGCTGAGTGCAACCCTTACTCAACAGCGAGCTAAGAACTGGGAAGTGACACACTTGTTAACCCCGAGATAACTCAGTAACGCTCCTGAAGAGTGAGAAATACTTGAGTGGCTGTGAAAAACCACAGATAGAAACAAACTACCCAAACTATCAGTCTCTGCTACACTGTATAAAGGAGCGAACACACCCACAACCAACTTTTCCACGGGCCAACTTTTCCTCTCGTGCAGTAGGAGCTTAGTGGTTTGCAGACACTGGTGAGTGGGGAAATAGTTAAAATACAGGTGAGAAGCGTCCCTGGTCTGGAGTTGCCCCCAGGTGAAGCAGGTAAGCTGGTGGGGCTACATCAGTTTACACCAGCCGAGATTTTGGTAGCTGCTCCTTCTCTCCTTAAATCTTTATGACGCTTAAGGGGGGAAAAAAAAAAATCACAGCGCAGAGTGTCAATACGCATAATAATGGGGAATGGGAGCCTGTCTGGAACAGCCCCGCTCCCGAGTGGACTTTAACAGCCTTCTCCAGGCCGAGCCTGTGCACCGAGGGGAGGAGGGTGATTAACATTCTTTACCCAGGCTGTGGCCACCTGGGCTCAGGGAGGCTCTCGGCAGTGCCGGTCTGTACCCTCACACTCCGGAACCGCCGAGGGCTGTTAGGGACCTCTTTTTAGGAAGCGCAGCCAGACAGAGGTTTTCCCGGGAGCGGCCGCACTTCTCGGAAGTGACTTTGTGCAGGGAAAAACACCCAAAAAACACCCGCACAGCCAAAAGCGGCCGGGAGGCGGGAAGGCCAAGGCGCTGCCTAAGTTTATAAATAGCGATCATTTGTTGTGTCGCGGCCGTGTCGGCCCCTTCCGCCGCTGACCTTCCCGAGGGCCCGCGCGGTGCCGGGGGCGGCAGCGGCGGCTCTGAGGCCGCCCGGGCCCCGCAGCTCCTTTGTGAGGCCCCGCCAGGCCCCCGCGACACCCGGGGCCGCCCCTCGGGCCTGCGCCGGGTCGAGCCCCCCCCGCGGCACCGCGCCCCGCCCGCGCTGCGTGTCGCGACACCCCGTCGCGACACCCCCGCTGCCTCGGGCCTGTCACGGCGCGGGGGGGGGGGGGGGGGGGGGGGGGTCGCGCTGAGGGCAGTTCCGGGGCCTCTCCGGCGGCGCCGCCAGGCCGCCCCCGCGCCTCGCGCGCACCACCCGCGGCCTCCCGGTGGCGGCCCCGCTGCCGCGGCCGGGGCCGGGCGGGGCCGGGACTCACCGGGCCCGGCGGACACAAAGCGGCGGCGCCTCCAATGGCGGCGGCGGCGGGACCGGCGGGGGGGGGCGGCGGGGCGGGGGCGGTGCCGTGAGGGGAGGGGGCGTGGCCGCGGCGGGCGCCGGTGGGGGGCGTGGCCTCTCGCGCCGGTGACCAATGGGAGGCCGCGGGCATTTTTCGAACGCCGGCCCCTCCCGCGCGACGTGGAGGTGGTGAGGGGGTGGCGGAGCGCGCGTGCGCGGGGCGGGGGGGGCGGGGTTGCGCGCGCGCTTCCCGCCGCCGGCGCCGTGAGGGGATGGCGGCCCGCTGAGGGCGAGCGGGGGGCGGACGGTCCTGAGAGCCGGCCCGGAGCCACAACCTCGGCCCGCCGGGCGGGGACCGCCCCAGCTGACCCTCCCCAGAGCCCCAGCCCGCCGGCTGGGACCGCCTCGGCTGACCCTCCGCATCAGCCCCGTCTGACTCTCAGCGTCAGTCCAGCCTGACCCTCAAACCTCAGCCCTGCCTGACCCTCAGCCTCAGCCCCACCTCCCCCTCAGTCCAGCCGGACCCTCAGCCCTCAGCTCACCCCGCCGGGCCCGCTGCCCGCCCTCAGCCCCGTCAGAACCCTGCGGACGCGTTCCTGTGTCACCCGCCCCAGGTGACCCTGCCTTGGCAGTGCGGTCGGGCTGGGGGGTCTCCAGAGGTCCCTTCCAACCCCAACAGCCCCTGATTCCCCGTGTACCCATGGATTCCCACCGGGAGCGCTCCAGGCTGTATCTCAACTCTGGCCTCTTGCTTTGTCCGCCTCTTGCCCTCTGTGGTGCCTTCCCTTGGCCTCAGCCTTTCACCCATTATCACTCATCATCATCATCATCATCACTCATTAGCTGTGTAATTACTGCCTGCCAGTCACACCAGCCCCGGCGCTGAGGTCTGGCTGAAACTGGGAATTCGCTGTCACGACACGCTCACAGGCTCTCACATGTGGGGAGGATTCCTTTTCCGAGGATCCTTTGCTCTGTTTCAGGCAGTTTTTATCTGGTGTGAGGTTTATCACGGCAAGGCAGAGCTGAGGTGTGACCCACACTCATATTTTCCCCTGTCATAGATCTTTCAGGGGTAACAATCACAAGTTCTTTCTGTGGACCTTCTGCTGTGCTTTTGCTCCAAGTTTTTTTAGCTAGACCTGTGGGCATTCTTTTTTTTCCCCTCTTACCCCAAATCCTTCTAACTAACCTTGGCTTTAAGGTACAACTCCTCAATTGCTTTTCCTTATTGTCTTTTCTGCATGCTTGGAATCACTAAGGTTGGAAAAGCCCTCCAAGATCATCAAGTCCAACCACTAACCCAGCACTGCCCTGTCCATCATTAAACCACGTCCCCAAGTGCCACTTCCACACGCCTTGTGAACACCTCCAGGGGTGGGGACTCCAATCCCTGACCACCCTCTCCATGAAGAAATTTTCCCTGATATCCAATCTAAACCTCTCCTGTGACAACTGGAGGCCATCTGCTGTTGCTTGTTACCCGGGAGAAGACAGTGATCCCACCTGGCTCCAAATACACCACAGCACTTTTAGTGTGCAGTCTCTCACCCAAACAGTCTCTCACCTTTGTTTGCTGCTCATAATCTTTACTCATCTGCTGCCAACCTCCCTCTCCATCCGTGTTTTTACCATCTAAAGACCATGCAGGCACTCACCCATTTATTTAGGCACTTTTATCCCTCCTCTGATGGGAAGCCCCTCTGTGAGCACATTTCGAAGCATTTACACTATTCAAAGCACCACAGAGGTGTCTTATTTCTGCAAAAATGCTTTGACTGTTTCTTATCTAAGCTTTTTTCAGCTTCCCCCCCCCCCTCAGGTGACAGCTATAAGTGAACTACACCCGACAATGTCACCTTCTAAAGCCTTGTGACCAAGGCCTGGCCCTGCTCAGCCCCTTCTTCTCCATTCCAGATGATCCCTGGGATGCTTCCCTTCGTCTCCTGGGCTGAACAGCCCTGGAAGCAGCTGAACCAGCCGGCTCCACTTTGCTGAACATTCCTGCCTCGCCTGTGAGTGTGAAACAAGGCCTGTGCAGCTGCAGAAAAATGTGTTTCTTTGGCCTTTCTCCCCCTGCGGTGCCTCTCTGGCAGGAGGGGAAGGTGGAGGAGAGGGGAGGGAGGGGGAATGTGCTCCTTTACTGCCAGCTTTTAAGACACCAAGAAAGAAAAGATGAAATCATCCCAGCAGCCTCACTGCAAGGCCTGGGTGAAGCCCCAACAAGCCCAACACCTGTGCTGGCTGAGCCACAGAGCAACGAGCAGAGGAGGGGCAGAGCTTTTGTTGTCTCCTCTGGTTTTTACCTCAAAATCCAGCCCCGAGGGGAGCAGCAGGCTCTGCACAGTCCTAACAGCTACGTTACAGGATCACAACCCACTGCTCCATCTCCCCTGCCCCACTTTTTGGGCAGGTTTGTGCCATTTGTGTCCCCTTCCCTGTTGCCCCGGTGCCACACAGAGCGTGTGACAGCGGCAGGAGTGAGGCTGGGGGGGAACCTCTCACCCAGCACAGGGGGAAGGAACAGGGAAATCTGAATGGGAGCTGGACTGGATCCTTTCCAACTCACAATATCCTGTGATTCTTCTGGGAAATCCATGGCCAGGGAGCCAGACTGGAGCAGGGAGCTGCTGCCAGAGTTATTTGTGATAGTGTAGAGCTCTATTGTCATCAAAAATACTTCTAGTAAGTATTAAACACTTCTAGGAAGTACTAAGCACTCTAAATAAGTACTGAGCCTTTCCAATGCCTTTCCTGCCCTCTCAGGTGCCACTCACTGGTAGGATTGGGTTTTTTTCCTGAAAATCACTCCATTTGATTACATCTTGATGTCCCCTGGAGCTTTCCCAAGCCCACAGCTTTGGGCTTGGGCTGTGCCACTCATAGGCTGAACCAGATCATTCAGCCACGGTGCTTTTGTTCCCAAGGAGTCCCTGTAAAATGTCCCTGTCAAGGGATTTACTGTTTCCACTCGGTATCCAGAGCAATGCCACAAGTTCTGGGCCTCCCCTGAAAACGTGGAACCTGTCGTGTTTCTGTTTTAAACACTGGTTTAAATTATGTTTTAAATCTGCCTGCAGAAACTCCATCCCAGGGGCTGCTTTGTTGACTTTCTTACCCTAAACCAACTCATATTTTCCCCATTTCCCCCCATTTTTTATTTAAAGCAAACACTTTCTGATTTAACAAGCATGGCTTAACATCCACCTGCCACACACTGTGCAAAGCACAAGATTATTACCCTTTTTAATTGCTTTGACCCACTGTGCACCTGCTTAAATCAGCTTCTCCCAACCCATTCTTGATCCTGCAGCATCTTTGTTACCCAACTCTCTTTCATCACTGACCTGCAGCTCCAGATTTCAGCTCTGGTTATATTCAGGCCTTGCCTCTGGTGTTGCCACCCCAAGGTTTTTGGTGATTTTTTTTTTTGCTTTTCCATCGTTACCCCAGCTTTGCATTTATTTTAGGAAGCCTCCCCAGGCCGCTGCTTTTCCTGAGACAGCCTAATTTGAAATAGCTCCTCCGTGCTGACGTCACTGGGAGAGCAGGAGCTGCAAGTTACAACTCCTTTTTTTCCCCCCCTTCTGGCATTGCAGCAGTTCTTTATTTCACTCCAAGCAAGGCACGTGAAGTGACAGTTCCACTAATTGTGGAGAAGCTGGAGACCACCAAACCTTCCCACAGGGACCTCTCCCACAGCCACGTGTGCCCACAGTTACACCTCTGGCAGTGACAATGTCCCTCACTGAGCCAAGCCCTGTTTCAGAAGACTCAAACTGGTGAGCAGCTCGCAGGGGGCCGCTCCCCTCACCTGGGCAGGTAACAGCCTGCTGTCACACCTCCCAGCTGGGTGCTTTGGCAGCCACAGGAGCTCACTCTTGGCTCCACAGCCATGAGCAGCCTGGCTGGGCTCTGGCCTGGCTGTCTGAGAGCACTGCCCTGTCAGGGAGCAGTGCTGGGAGGAGACAAACCCTCGGGGTTGAGCGGGAATGGGAAGCTGTTTTGGTGCTGCTCCTGCTGGAAGCGGATGGTCAGCTCTGGAGCTGACTCTGGGGAGTCTTGTCGACTGGTTTCCCTTTGAGATGTGTCAGCTGCAGCTCAGGCTCCTGCTCGGAACATCCACCCCGTGGTGCTGGAGGAGGCCTGGAGAGTCGGACGTGTTTCCTTGGAGGGCGGGTAAAACCCCCCCCTCCTGTTCTGTGCAGATGTGTGGAATTCCCTGGTTTTCTGCCCCCGGTGTGTGAGAACACCCCAGCCAGGGCTGTGAGGCAGCAGACAGAGCTGTGTGCTGTGTCTGTCTCCACGAATCACAGGGCAGTGGTGCCACATCCCCGTGGAGCTCCGGGGGCTCAGTGCCTGCTCCATTCACAAACCACACTCCTGGTGAGGTTTGCTGTTTCCCTGCACTCACACGAGTGGGAAGCGGCCTGGAGTGACGGATTTTTCACTTTATGCCATCTATAACAGTACAGAGCGTTCACACCAGGTGCTATCTCAGAACAGCTCACTCTGCAGTACTGAAATGACCCATTTCCCTTCAGGGGTGAGACCTGAAGGTACCTGTGACATCTGCTGAGATGATCTTTGCAGTCCCTTCCAGTTGTTCTCCAAAAAGCTGTGATAAACCCCCTCTAACATTGCTCTGCCCACATTCACTAATGGTCTGCACCTCAGGAGCCCAGAGCCCAGTTAACAAGGCTGTTAACCCTTGCAGGGGGCTGCAAGGGCACAGACAAGAGCTTCACCATTTTCTCCACTCGCTCAGTAACCCAAAGATCTCCCAACCAGCAGCATCCATTGCCTTCCCCACTCCTCTCTCCCATTTGCAACCACAGCACAACCATCCCTGCAGCTGGGCCAGCAACTTGGACCAGTTCCCCTTCGGAAAGGACTGAATGGAGCGGGAGCTGGTTTTATTTCTGCTGCAGTTTCAGCACAATTCAGCAGCTGGAAACGAGGCAGAGAAGCTGGTGCCACATGACAAAGCTCTCCACAGTCAGCACCCCTTCAGCAGCATTCAAATAGGAGGAGTTTATTCAGCAAACCGCAGTTC